ATAAATAATGAAACCTATCCAACCAAAAACACAGAGACGCAGAAAACCTTAGCTTACTCCTCCACTATGGTGAAACACAAAAACAATACAGAAATACATTAAGAAAAAACAAGGAACAGCATGTCAGAAAACAGCTCATTGTGATTGAAGAATCCATAGAATCAAATCGCTTCTGGGAAAATTGGAAAACACTAAACAAACAACAACACAAAGAGCTATCTATCCAAAATGAAGATGGATGGATAAACCACTTCTCCATCCTTTTTGGCCATAAAACAAAGAACCAAAAGCAAAAACATATACATGATAATTTACAAAACATAGAATCAGCTATTAAAGACTACCAGAATCCACTGGATTCTCCAATTACATTGAATGAGCTACAGGACTAAATACAAACCCTACAACCCAAAAAGGCCTGTGGTGTTGATGGTATACTAAACGAAATGATAAAATGTACAGACCACAAATTAAAATGGGCTATTCTTAAACTCTTCAACATTATCCTCAGATCTGGCATCTTCCCCAATATTTGGAACCATGGTCTGATCATCCCAATCCACAAAAGTGGAAACAAATTTGACCCCAATAATTATAGTGGCATCTGCGTCAACAGAAATCTCTGCAAAATCATCAACAGCAGACTCCAACATTTCCTCAGTGAAAACAATGTCCTGAGCAAATGTCAAATTGGCTTCTTACCAAAATACTGTACGACAGACCCCGTATACACCCTGCACACCCTTATTGACAAACAAAATAAAAGCAAAGTCTTCTCATGCTTTGTTGCTTTCAAAAAAGCTTTTGACTCAATTTGGTATGAGGGTCTGCTATACAAATTGATGGAAAGTGGTGTTGGGGGAAAAACATATAACATTATAAAATCAATGTGCTGTACACAAACAACAAGTGTGCAGTTAAAATTGGCAATAAACACACAGATTTCTTTCGTCGGGGCCGTGGGGTGAGATAGGGATGCAGCTTGAGCCTCACCCTCTTCAACATAAATATAAATGAATTGGCGAGGGCACTAGAACAGTCTGCAGCACCCGGCCTCCCCTACTGGACTTGGAAATCAAATGTCTACTGTTTGCAAATGATCTGATGCTTCTCTCCCCAACCAAGGAGGGCCTACAGCAGCACCTAGATCTTCTGCACAGATTCTGTCAGACTTGGGCCCTGACAGTGAATCTCAGTAAGAATAATGGTGTTCCAAAAAAGGTCCAGTTGCCAGGACAACAAATACAAATTCTATCTCGACACCGTTGCCCTAGAGCACACAAAGAATTACACCTACCTCGGCCTAAACATCAACACCACATGTAACTTCCACAAGGCTGTGAATGATCTAAGAGACAAGGCAAGAAGGACCATCTACGCCATCAAAAATAACATAAAATTCAACATCACAATTAGGATCTGGCTAAAGCACTTCAATCAGTTATAGAACCCATTGCCCTCTATGGTTGTGAGGTCTGGGGTCCACTCACCAACCAATAATTCACAAAATAGGACAAACACCCAACTGAGACTCTGCATACAGAATTCTGCAAAAATATACTTTGTGTACAACACAAAACCCCAGACAATGCATGCAGAGCAGAATTAGGACTATAATGCTAGTTATCAATATCCAGAAAAGAGCTGTTAAATTTTACAAACACCTAAAAGGAAGCAATGTTCACACATTCCACCACAAAGCCCTCACCTACAGAGAGATGAACCTAGAAAAGAGTCACCTCAGCCAGCTGGTTCTGGGGCTCTGTTCACAAACACAAACAGACCCCCAGAATGGCAACACAATTAGACACAACCAAATTATGAGAAAGCCAAAAGATAACTATTTGACACACTGGAAAGAATCGGAATTGGAATGCTATCTGGCCCTAAAAGAGAGTACACGGTGGCAGAATTCTTGACCACTGTGACTGACCCAAAATTAAGATAATCCTTGACTATTTACAGACTCAGTGAGCATAGCCTTGCTATTGAGCGAGGCTGCCATAGGCAGACCTGTAAATACCACCAATATCTGTTATTTATCTTCCTCCACTATTCGTACTACAACTATTTGTACATTGCTAAAACATTGTACGTACTGTAGCTGATAATATAACACTTGAAATGTCTTTATCATTTTTGTGAGTGCAATGTTTACTGTTAATTTCTAATCATTTTTTGTTGATGTTGTTTTGTTTCTTCCCACTTTTGTTTGTTTATTTAACTTGCTTTGGCAATGTAAACACGTCTCCCATGCCAATAAAGCCCCATTGAATTGAGAAGTAGTGGTTGTGTGTCAATAGATGGGATCTGATATGTGGTTTGGTCCTGTTTGAAGTGGGGCCAGGAGGTTGGAGGTATGTGGTGCCGTGGTGGGAAAGCCCCACTAACCTTGGCTCTGTTAGGATCCCATCATGTTCCCGTCCCAGTTCTCACACCCCTGTAGAATGTGGGGATGTGTGTGTGTGTGTGTGTGTGTGTGTGCAATCTGTTGGGGATAAACAGCCCTGCTTTGTTGGGCGGATGTATCAGCAGCACACCACCCACCCTGCAGAAACTCACACACCTATTACCCTGAAACACACACACACACACACACACACACACACACACACTCAGTTCTCTCATCATCCCCCTGAAATTTTCCCAGACTCTGCATGGCGCACGTCGGCCTTGAAAAACAACATGTTTAGCGCACGGCCATTACAAATCACAGTCATCACCAAGCCATGAGAGGACGAAGAATTAGCAGTGGAAAAAGAAGAAAAGAGATGTTAAAGAAACTTCATTTTCTTTAATTGGAGGCTGAGTACAGGGCGGCAGGTAGCCTAGCGTTTAGAGCATTGGGCCAGTAACCGAAAGGTCAATGGTTCGAATAACCGAGCCAACAAGGTCAAACAAAAATCTGCTGATGTGCCCTTGAGCAAGGCACTTTACCCTAATTTGCTCCAGGGACGCCGGACTACTATAGCTGACCCTGTAAAACAACACATTGACAATAAAACATCAAGGAGTGCATGCATGTTGTCTCACCATCATTTAGTCAGTGTAAACGTGCAGGGCCTGATAGGCTGATGACCAGTGATTCATAAATTAAAGGATAAAAGCTGAGCTGCTGTGTCGACAACTTCACTAATTACTCAGTGAATTGGGGGTGGTTGTGTGTGTGGGGCGGGGTTATGGTGTGTGTAAGTGGGTTGGGGGTGGTTGTGTGTGTGGGGCGGGGTTATGGTGTGTGTAAGTGGGTTGGGGGTGGTTGTGTGTGTGGGGCGGGGTTATGGTGTGTGTAAGTGGGTTGGGGGTGGTTGTGTGTGTGGGGCGGGGTTATGATGTGTGTGTTTCTGTGTGTCTTTGGCTCTTTTATCATAAAATCTGCATGTAAATCGACACATGCAAATCAAAGGAATGTATCCAGGAGTTTGCATGATTGTGATTGATTATGTGCCAAATGGGATGTTGTGTTCAGGTTATTGCCAAGCCATCCTATTAGGGAAACCTCTCATTGTTGCACAACCACTGGATGGGGATTGTTTATGTCCACACCTTATAATATGAGTAATGCAGTCGTTCATTACGGAAAGATGGAGATGCTACTCACAGTAGATATGATGTTTTGGTACAGGATATGTCATGACAGCTCTAGTGTGTGCTCCTCTCTCTCTCTAAAAATACTCTCTTCAGGACCGACAGATGAAAGGAGAAAGCAGGAACTCACACACTTGATATCAGACCAAGTGTTGAATCATTATCCTGATGGGGTACAGTGAGGTGGACGAGCCCTCAATCTGGCCCTGTCAAACTGACGAGCCATTTGGGGGACACATACACATACACTCACACACATACACATCTCCCATTCAGTGTATTCCCACAGAACATCTCAGACTAGACTCTAGTTGTGTATTTTAGACAACATGTTGTATATGTACCAACATGGGGGACACATGTGCTCCGAATAGAAACACAAATAACCACAGGCCATGTCTGTCTGTGTGGATTCAGCTGGGTCCCTGTCTGTCTGTGTGGATTCAGCTGGGTCCCTGTCTGTCTGTGTGAATTCAGCTGGGTCCCTGTCTGTGTGGATTCAGCTGGGTCCCTGTCTGTCTGTGTGGATTCAGCTGGGTCTCTGTCTGTCTGTGTGGATTCAGCTGGGTCCCTGTCTGTCTGTGTGGATTCAGCTGGGTCCCTGTCTGTCTGTGTGGATTCAGCTGGGTCCCTGTCTGTCTGTGTGGATTCAGCTGGGTCCCTGTCTGTCTGTGTGGATTCAGCTGGGTCCCTGTCTGTCTGTGTGGATTCAGCTGGGTCCCTGTCTGTCTGTGTGGATTCAGCTGGGTCCTTGTCTGTCTGTGTAGATTCAGCTGGGTCCCTGTCTGTCTGTGTAGATTCAGCTGGGTCCCTGTCTGTTTGTGTGGATTCAGCTAGGTCCCTGTCTGTCTGTGTGGATTCAGCTGGGTCCCTGTCTGTCTGTGTGGATTCAGCTGGGTCCCTGTCTGTCTGTGTGGATTCAGCTGGGTCCCTGTCTGTCTGTGTGGATTCAGCTGGGTCCCTGTCTGTCTGTGTGGATTCAGCTGGGTCCCTGTCTGTTTGTGTGGATTCAGCTGGGTCCCTGTCTGTCTGTGTGGATTCAGCTGGGTCCCTGTCTGTTTGTGTGGATTCAGCTAGGTCCCTGTCTGTCTGTGTGGATTCAGCTGGGTCCCTGTCTGTCTGTGTGGATTCAGCTGGATCCCTGTCTGTCTATGTGGATTCAGCTGGGTCCCTGTCTGTCTGTGTAGATTCAGCTGGGTCTCTGTCTGTCTGTGTAGATTCAGCTGGGTCTCTGTCTGTCTGTGTGGATTCAGCTGGGTCCCTGTCTGTCTGTGTGGATTCAGCTGGGTCCCTGTTTGTCTGTGTAGATTCAGCTGGGTCCCTGTCTGTCTGTGTGGATTCAGCTGGGTCCCTGTCCGTCTGTGTGGATTCAGCTGGGTCCCTGTCTGTCTGTGTGGATTCAGCTGGGTCCCTGTCTATCTGTGTGGATTCAGCTGGGTCCCTGTCTGTCTGTGTGGATTCAGCTGGGTCCCTGTCTGTCTGTGTGGATTCAGCTGGGTCCCTGTCTGTCTGTGTGGATTCAGCTGGGACCCTGTCTGTCTGTGTGGATTCAGCTGGGTCCCTGTCTGTCTGTGTGGATTCAGCTGGGACCCTGTCTGTCTGTGTGGATTCAGCTGGGTCCCTGTCTGTCTGTGTGGATTCAGCTGGGTCCCTGTCTGTCTGTGTGGATTCAGCTGGGTCCCTGTCTGTGTGGATTCAGCTGGATCCCTGTCTGTCTGTGTGGATTCAGCTGTGTCCCTGTCTGTCTGTGTGGATTCAGCTGGGTCCCTGTCTGTCTGTGTGGATTCAGCTGGGACCCTGTCTGTCTGTGTGGATTCAGCTGGGTCCCTGTCTGTCTGTGTGGATTCAGCTGGGACCCTGTCTGTCTGTGTGGATTCAGCTGGGTCCCTGTCTGTCTGTGTGGATTCAGCTGGGTCCCTGTCTGTCTGTGTGGATTCAGCTGGGTCCCTGTGCACTAACTTCTCCACCATGGGAGAGCGGAGAGAAGAGAACTAACAAGGCTAGAACTAAAACACTGTGTGTGTGTGTGTGTGTGTGTGTGTGTGTGTGTGTGTGTGTGTGTGTGTGTGTGTGTGTGTGTGTGTGTGTGTGTGTGTGTGTGTGTGTGTGTGTGTGTGTGTGTGTGTGTGTGTGTGTGTGTGTGTGTGTGTGTGTGTGTGTGTGTGTGTACCAAGGCTGGGTCTGGTAGACTCATGTCTCGTTATTCAGTCTTTTAGCTCAGCAGGTAGGAAATAACCTTATTTACAGTTACACAGCATGGCTGCATCCAAATCCATTTACCATCCATTTACCCTGTCTCAAAACATCTGAGGGCCATCATACAGGCATGAGCAGTCAGGGATCTGATTAAGCCCAGGGTCTTGATTTGTAGTTCAAACTAGTACTGCTCTCTCTTTCTTTCATGTTGGTCTCTCTCTCTCTAGCTCTTTTTCTATTTATTTTTTACTGGTCTCTGTCTCCCTCTCACCTCTCTGTCTTTCTCCCTCTCTCTCTTTCTCTTCCTTTCTCCCTCTCTATTGGTTCGCTCACACCTCTCTCTCAGTGCCCCCTAGCTTTAGGCAGCGGGAGGTGGTCTGGGGGATGGAATGAGGGAGATGGGTAAGATAGGCTGGGGGTTGGGGGAGGTAACTCAGGCCTGTATTGATGAGGAGATAAGCGCAGGTCCAGAGGTGAGGAGACTTATAGGCCCTGTCGGCCCCCACTGTCATGGCCACTTGTTTTATTCCACAGAGCAGAGCACAGGGGAGAGATGGGTAATTGGATTCAGGTGTCCCCACTCCGCTCCTAGAGATGTCTCACTTACTGCCTGTTAGTGTTACCATCATGGCTCAGTGTGTGTGTTAGTGTGTGTGTGTTTGTGTTTGTGAGCGCGCGTGCGTGCATGTGCACGTGTGCGGGTGCGTGTGTGTGCGCGTGTTTACCCAATAGCTCTCTCTTAATAGCTGCCCTCCAGTCACTGATGCAATCTCAGTGGTTTCCCTGAAAATGTGGAACTGGGCTCCTTTTGATACGGTAGTGATGGTCACAGCTCAAAGAGAAAGCAGAAATAAAAGGAGAAATTATCAAAACAACAGCTTGCTACGGTCTTTAACATCTCAGAGTGTAGGTAGGGGGGTGAAAGCAGGTGTGTGTGTGCGTGTGTGGAACAAAAGGGCTGTGGAACATCTGGATGCCAGTGATTGCTACGCTCAGTTGCGTTACGAGCCAAATTAATCAAACCTGGTCAAACATGGTCCTCTCACACCAGAATAGTCATGAAGAAGGTACAGCAGTGCCTCTTCTCCCTCAGGAGGTTGAAACTATTTGGCATGGCCCTTCAGATCCTCAGGAGCTTTTAAAGCAGCACCATCGAGAGCATCCTGACTGGTTGTATCACCATCTGGTATGGCAACTGCACCGCCCTCGACCGGAAGGCCCTACAGAGGGTGGTGCGGACGGCCCAGCGCATCACTGGGGGTGAGCTCCCAGCCATCCAGGATGTACATGCCAAGCGGTGTCTGAGAAAGGCCCGAAAAATTGCCAAAGACTACAGCCACCCAAGACATGGACTGTTCTCCATGCTCCCATCCCTCAGGCGGTACCGGTGCATCAAGGCTCAGACCAACAGACTCCTAAACAGCTTCTATCCCCTGGCCATAAGACTGTTAAATGGCTAACAACTACTGCTCTCCCTCTCCCACAGACCATCCACACTGACTCTATGACCATCCACAGTTCTCTACCCACTCAGACACACACACCTTCACTGTCACTGTCACTCTTACTCACACACACTCACTTACACCCAGAAAGTGACAAAGCGAAAACATGTGTTTAGAAAATTTTGCAGATTTATTGAAAAAGAAATATCACATTTACATAAGTATTCACACCCCTGAGTCAATACTTTGTAGAAGCACATTTGGCGGCGATTACAGCTTTGAGCCGGCTTGGGTATGTCTGTATCAGCTTTCCACAACTGGATTTGGGGATTTTCTCCCATTCTTCCTTGCAGATTTTCTCAAGCTCTGTTAAGTTAGATGGGGAGCGGCGGTGAACAGCAATCTTCAAGTCTTTCCACAGATTTTCAATAGGATTCAAGTCTGGGCTTTGGCTGGGCCACTTAAGGACTTTCACATTCTTGTTCTGAAGCCATTCCAGCGTTATTTTGGTTGTATGCTCTGGGTCATTGTCCTGTTGGAATGGAAATATTCGCCCCAGTCTAAGGCCGTTTGCACTCTGAAGCAGGTTCTCAACTATTTGCCTGTATTTGGCTCCATTCATTGTTCCCTCTATCCTTACCAGTCTCCCAGTCCCTGCCACTGAAAAACATCCACATAGCATGATGCTGCCTCCACCATGCTTTACAGTAGGGATGGTATTAGACGGGTGATGAGTTGTGCCTGGTTTTCTCCAGACATAGCGCTTTGCATTCAGGCCAAAGAGTAAAATGTTTGTCTCATCAGACCACAGAATATTTTGCCTTATGATCTCAGAGTCTTTCACGTGCCTTTTTGCAATTCTCCCATTTCAGCCAAGGAACTCTGTAGTTCTGTCAGAGTGGTCATTGTGTTCTTGGTCACCTCCCTGACCAAGGTCCTTTTTACCCGGTTGCTCAGTTTGGTCAGATGGCAAGCTTTAGGCAGAGTCTGGGTAGTTTCATATTTTTTCCATTTCCCAATGATGGAGACCACTGTGCTCTTGGAAACTTCCAACCCTAGAATTTGTTTTATACTCTTCCCCAGATACATGCCTCATCACAATTAAATCTCGGAGATCTATGGACAGTTCCTTGGACTTCATGGTATAGTTTCTGCTCGGACATGCACTGTCAACTGTGGAACCTTATATTGACAGGTCTGTTTCTTTCTAAATCATGTCCAAATAATTGAATTGGCCACAGGTGGACTCCAATCAAGTTGTAGTGACATCTCAAGGATGATCAAAGTACATTGGATGCACCTGAGCTCAATTTGGAGTGTCATAGCAAAGGGGTGTGAATATTTATGTCAATTAGACATTTCTGTATTTCATTTTCAATAAATTTCTAAAAACATGTTTTCACTTTGTCATTATGGGGTATTGTGTGTAGATGGCAGAGAAACATATTAAATCAATTTTGAATTCAGGCTGTAACACAACAAAATGTGGAGTGGGTATGAATACTTTCTGAAGGCAGTGTATATACAGTGCATTCGGAAAGTACTCAGACCCCTAGACTTTTTCCACGTTTTGTTACGTTACAGCCTTATTCTGAAATGGATTAAATACACTGCTCAAAAAAATAAAGGGAACACTTAAACAACACAATGTAACTCCAAGTCAATCACACTTCTGTGAAATCAAACTGTCCACTTCGGAAGCAACACTGATTGACAATACATTTCACATGCTGTTGTGCAAATGGAATAGACAACAGGTGGAAATTATAGGCAATTAGCAAGACACCCCCAATAAAGGACTGGTTTTGCAGGTGGTCACCACATACCACTTCTCAGTTCCTATGCTTCCTGGCTGATGTTTTGGTCACTTTTGAATGCTGGCGGTGCTTTCACTCTAGTGGTAGCATGAGACGGAGTCTACAACCCACACAAGTGGCTCAGGTAGTGCAGCTCATCCAGGATGGCACATCAATGCGAGCTGTGGTAAGAAGGTTTGCTGTGTCTGTCAGCGTAGTGTCCAGAGCATGGAGGCGCTACCAGGAGACAGGCCAGTACATCAGGAGACGTGGAGGAGGCCGTAGGAGGGCAACAATCCAGCAGCAGGACTGCTACCTCTGCCTTTGTGCAAGGAGGAGCAGGAGGAGCACTGCCAGAGCCCTGCAAAATGACCTCCAGCAGGCCACAAATGCTCAAACGGTCAGAAACAGACTCCATGAGGGTGGTATGAGGGCCCGACGTCCACAGGTGGGGGTTGTGCTTACAGCCCAACATCGTGCAGGACGTTTGGCATTTGCCAGAGAACACCAAGATTGGCAAATTCGCCACTGGCGCCCTGTGCTCTTCACAGATGAAAGCAGGTTCACACTGAGCACATGTGACAGACGTGACAGAGTCTGGAGACGCCGTGGAGAACGTTCTGCTGCCTGCAACATCCTCCAGCATGACCGGTTTGGCGGTGGGTCAGTCATGGTGTGGGGTGGCATTTCTTTGGGGGGCCACACTGCCCTCCATGTGCTCGCCAGAGGTAGCTTGACTGCCATTAGGTACCGAGATGAGATCCTCAGACCCCTTGTGAGACCATATGCTGGTGCGGTTGGCCCTGGGTTCCTCCTAATGTAAGACAATGCTAGACCTCATGTGGCTGGAGTGTGTCAGCAGTTCCTGCAAGAGGAAGGCATTGATGCTATGGACTGGCCCGCCCGTTCCCCAGACCTGAATCCAATTGAGCACATCTGGGACATCATGTCTCGCTCCATCCACCAACGCCACGTTGCACCACAGACTGTCCAGGAGTTGGCGGATGCTTTAGTCCAGGTCTGGGAGGAGATCCCTCAGGAGACCATCCGCCACCTCATCAGGAGCATGCCCAGGCGTTGTAGGGAGGTCATACAGGCACGTGGAGGCCATACACACTACTGAGCCTTATTTTGACTTGTTTTAAGGACATTACATCAAAGTTGGATCAGCCTGTAGTGTGGTTTTCCACTTTAATTTTGAGGGTGACTCCAAATCCAGACCTCCATGGGTTGATAAATTTGATTTCCATTGATAATTTTTGTGTGATTTTGTTGTCAGCACATTCAACTATGTAAAGAAAAAAGTATTTAATAAGATTATTTCATTCATTCAGATCTAGGATGTGTTGTTTAAGTGTTCCCTTTATTTACTGGCAGTGCTCCTCCTGCTCCTCCTTGCACAAAGGCGGAGGTAGCGGTCCTGCTGCTGGGTTGTTGCCCTCCTACGGCCTCCACCACTTCTCCTGATGTACTGGCCTGTCTCCTGGTAGCGCCTCCATGCTCTGGACACTACGCTGACAGACACAGCAAACC